TAGCTCATGTTTGTGGTTTCAGCTAGTTGAAAGACTCCTTAAAAAAAGAGATGGTTTGCATTGCAAATTATGAAGACTTTTGTGGCTTGAACTCTAAGTTATTCTCTATTTGTCACTCAGAGACAGCTTTGGCAGAACTGAGTTTTTGGCTTGTGGAATTAAAAGTTCTAAGGCTGCTAAAATCCTCTTTCAATCCCAGGCATTAATAACACAACTCCTGTAAAGTGGGGTTGCTGTTTCTGTGCCACAGGAAAGAAACAGTAAAGAAACCTGCTACTCAAGTAGTCAGTCATTCTGTCAATGTATTCCAGATATCGGGGCACCTCTTCTCACTCCTCCTCTCTCACTGCCTCTGCTTTTTTGTCTTTCCAGTTCTGATCCCTTGAGCTTGATTCTGCTCTGGAGGAAGGACTATGTGCTACTACAGATACACTGAAAAACCCTAAATGTCCCCTAAATGTCACACCTGAAACAAGAGAGCAATTTAGACAAAACCTAAGAGATTCATGAGTTTTCTGGGCGCACTTCATACAATGCCAACCTGATATGGAAAAAATCTGAATCTCTTATCTTTCTTTTCTGTTTTGGTGACCCTGATTGCTTTCCCTTGTTGTTTCAGGCTTTATTTAAAAGGTCACAGTGGAACTGCTGGAAAACAGAGTAGTCTGATCTTGCATGGTGCTGAATTCAGTACAAAAGATGCTGACAATGACAACTGCATGTGTAAATGTGCTCTCATGTTGACTGGAGGTGAGTACAACTGACTCTGAAAATATGATACATTAATAGGAATCTACTATGTGTTCCTAAAGTAACCACGGATGAAGTTGTGTCATGGATGTATAAGTCCTGAGTGAAAATTTCTTTTATTATTATTACTGCTATTTTTTCTGTACATATATTGTCAAAATGCCAATACCTCTAGATTCCTGTCAGCAGAGAAAGGATTATCCAGAGATGCAGTCAGTATACTCCTGCACTGAAGCTGTTGCAAGAACATCTAAGAGGAAAGTATAAGTTAGTGTAATTGTTTAGGCAAGAAATGCAAAATTAAAAAAGATAAAAGCTTAAAAAGGTGAAAAGAAGTTTTTCAGAAGTTGGACAATCAACCAGCAAATAAAGAGAAGAAATGGCCAGGTATTAGATATTAGATGGCAAAGTTTATAAACAATCCTAGTCTAGACTTGTAATACATTATCTATTCCATTTAGGGATGTGATTCTGTTATTAAGGTATTTATAATGGTTAAACTTTCTCTGTTAGGTGAACATAATGCAATGCATAAAGACACTAAATGACTAATTCACTCCCCTGTGAAAGACTAGACCCACAACCACCTGTTTAAATCTGGAAGGTTTAAGCTGATTTCCTTTGTGAGCAGAGTCAAACTACAGAAGGAAAGAAAGAAGAATTGATGTGGGGAAGAGCACAGGCAAGTTACAGGGACAGTTTAAAGTCCCAAGTTGATCTGACTTCCAGCAAGTATAGTGTATATGATTGGTATTTTTTCTAAATATAGAGTGGATGATTGGTACTTTTTCCCTGCAGCAGAGAGAATGAATATTTGAGATTATCTCTCCATTCAGACTCCTAATGCTCCTAAGAGTGAGAATTTTCTCTGGCAAATGATAATCAGTCCTGGTCCCTGTGTGGTCAAGCTCATTTTTATCTCTAGAACACCACATTATAGCAGAAAGCTTAAATTGAGGTTTAAACCAAAACCAAAGATTATTTGGTTTACTGACTGTATGACCAAGAAAGTCCCTTTCTTATCTTCACATCTGATCTTGTTCAGAGACTCTCCTCAGTGATTTCTAACTTTTCTGGAAAAAAAATCCTGTAGCATGTACAGTTTTAATTCTTTTGGATCAGACTGTTAAACCTGTATTATTTGTGGTTACTGGCACTCTGAGTTCAGCTCAGGCCACATCCAGGCACATATGAGCCTCTAAAGCAATCATCTCTAACAGAAGATGGTTTCCCATCACTGAGAATTTATACCACATGCTCAGTCCTGCTCTGCATTCTCTTTTGCCAGTTGGAAGTGACCCAGTTGGGAAAGTCTTTAAGGAGCCAATTTTTCAAGCTCTTCTAACTTCTTCTAGGTATATCATAATAAAAGTTATCATGGGAAGCTTCTTCCTGTAGATGGATAATAAGACACTACCTCCCCATTTCTGTAAAAAATAGAAGCTAACCAGACAGATCTGGAGACAGATAGTGGAAAAAAAGTCAGTAGATTATTTTAATTAATCTGTTGCCCTTTCCCTTTGGAGAACATGCTAAATGAAAGTGTGTTACTTCCAGGGCAGGCCAGAGTCAGGAGGAGCTCCTGAGCATGAATTGTGTCTGTGCTGAAGTGCAGACTCATTCAAGTATCTGAGCTGCCTGGAAATACCCTGCAGCTCCTTCTGGGAGCTGAGGCTTTGTTTATTTTCCTGCTCTGAGCTCTGTGACAGGTCAACACCCTGCTAAGGTCAGTCTGCTGTTGAACAACCATCCCACAAGGTTCACATATATTGCTGCAGCATTCCTGTAAATCAACAGCTTAGCCACACATTGGAATTTACTGGTACCAAATGAAATGAATAGGGAAGAAGGGGTGAATTACCAAAGGCTGAGAAAACCACAAGTTTAGCAAATCACCACACAATAAAAGGAGGTGCAATTAGCCTTTGGAGATAGATTAATCTACTGTTTTGGACTAGACTCTGAGTACTGTTCCTTTGGAGACAGGTTGTACAGCACTGTAATTTGTAGTTCCTCAAGAAAGGCTTTAATCATGCAAGAGTTCTCCTCAAACACTCTGCTATGCTTTTCTCCTTGAAATCACTTTCTCATTCCTTGAGAAATATCCAAATTTAATTAAATACTAAGACATCTTTTTAGGGAGTGTATTTCAGTTTTCTACCAGACAAAGACTAATTTAGAAAAGTAGCAATGATAACAAGTTTTGGAAAACCTTCTTTCCCCCCAAAAAAAAGATATCAGAATGTTAGTTTTGGCAACATCACAGAGAGCTCTTTAATGATGAATGGTATGAAATCTACAGGCAAGTTTCTAGCTATCTTGACAGCTTGGGTGAGTCTGTTATCTCTATGAGGTGAAATGAATATATTTATGTCAGGAATAAAGGCTGAGATAAGCCAAAGCTCAAGACTGTGATATGGTTATAATCAAGGCTGAAAATAAAAATGTAAGGAAAACACACATTTCTCTCTGTGATCTTGCTAGTTGTCAGTTTTATTTGGTCTATATCATAACTATTATTCTCTCTCCTCCTATATCTCATCCCTCTTCCCTAGAATGAGAAATTAAATACTGAGAGAATAATACAGAAGCACCAACAGTGTATTTTGTGTATGTCTTTCTTGTATTTTAAAGAGCCATTCAATGCTACTTGCCTCTATCTTCACATGGATTTTAAGGAATGACTTCAAAATTATGCGTATGAGCTGGATTCTTAACCTCTCTAAACTGTCATCATATTTAGATGTTTTAGCTGCTTTTTTGTAACCAGAAAAATTTAACCTAAGTATGTTAGTTTTACTTTAAAGGAGGACAAATTATTCATTCAAATAATTTCTTCCTTTTTTCAATATCTTGGGCCAGTAAACTTAAAAAAAAAAAAAAAAAGAGGGTTATATATATGTATATCCCCATCTTACTTCAAGCTTTAGTCTGAAGAGTGTCCCAATGAGTTATGTACACAGCTTTTTTGCAAGAAACAACACTAAAAATGCAACAGTCCCCAGAATAAGCCTGTGAGTAGAAGTTCAAAATGCTTGGATTTCCAATACAGCCCTTAGCATTTAATATCTTTGGATCAGATTCCTGAGCCAAATTCCCATCTGTTCTGGCAGATACCACCTGTCAGCTGAGCCCCAAATTGTTTGTGAAGTTGTTTTCAGTAACTGGAACGTGACTTATGGTATCTCGGCCCACCAAGAAAGTTTTAAGGTGATTTTCTTTGTCTGGAATTGGCTGTAGTCTGAGTTGTTCACAAAGACATTTACCTTGCTTCAAGTGAGAAGTGAGAATACTGCTAAAATTCTGATCCCTAAAATCATTTTACAAAGACAGGGGGACTTTCTAGATATCTTTCCAGGTGTGAAGCAGCAGAGATAACTGAAATAAATTGTTTGTTTTATTTTACTGGGAGCAGAGGTACATCCAGCTGTAGTGTCCTGTCTCTGACAATACAGGCATAAGAGCAATGCAAATAAATTATCCCTCCCTTGAGTATTTTCTCAGTATCTTTTGAATCTCAGGGCCTTCCTGAATCAGAGAAATATGTATTTATTAAACACATATTTATTGAGCCTTAATAGATTTCTCATCTATTAAGTCAGAGGCTGCTCAATGACTCCAAAACCTTGTTGCATTCACTGCATGTTGTTTCAATGCTTTTTTCTCCAAGTGGTGAATTTTATGAATCTCTGCAAGAAGGGGATGGAGGATTCATGTCATGACTTGGAGGGAAGTTCTTGGCTGAATATAGAAATCTGCCCATACACTCCAATTGGAAAAGCCACAGTTTTTCTTATATTCTCCTTGAAACTGAATATTTGAAAGAAACAATGGCAGGACACTTGAGATTATCCAACCTGAACCCCTGGATATGCACCTAATTATATAAAAAAACCACTGGTTTTTAATTTTTATTCACATTCCTGCTTTCATAAAGAAATTGCTCAGAATGCACCATTAATGAAGTACCATTTATATTCCCAAATATTTTTATGAAAAAATATAATCAAATGGTTAGAATATTATTTGATTTTTTGCTTGAAATATTCAAAATATTTAATTAGACATATGATTATGCACAAATTTTAACAAAAACATTGGTATGTTTATCAAGATTAAATATGGGCAACTGTAATACAGTGTTAGGAGATCTTCAGGAAGTGACTAACTTTTGATATACTAGAACATAGCCACCAGTCTGCAAGTTTCATGTTATTTTTACCTCATACAAAGGTCCTTATGAAAGGGACTACATTATCCAGTTAATATGAAAAGCTGATGCCTTTTCATCTTATGACAGCTAAATTCTAATTTAATCTTCAGATTGTCAAGTAGTCTGGTCAATCCAGTACTCTAAGGAATAAAATAACATAGAAGTTTCTTCCAGAAGTCATTTAGACCCTTCACAAGACAGATTCTTCTCTATCTGTTTGTTTCTATGTATTTCAAGATTTCTGTTCTCGTGATAAAATCTGTTACTGAGTTTGTGTGCATTTAATATAAGAACACTTTGCATGTTGGCTAGCTAATTCTATGATAATTTAACTGTGTTCCATCCTGTCATAACCTCTACCTCTAGAAAGAATAGACATAATTCATTTACATTTCTTTGAGAGGTTTTTAGTTAATTTTAAATTGTTGGCAATTTTTCTTTCAAATTCTGATTAAACAATCCTAAGTCTTTCCTGCTACATTCACTCTTTTGGACTCTGTCCCATGGCTCCACTGATAGCTTGAGGTGTCATCCGAAACTTCATCCAGAGAAATTACCAATGAAAAATCACCAGATCCTAAGCATTGCCATCTAACTTCTTTAAATTACAGAATGTCAGAAACATTGAAATGTTTCCTAAAATAAATTTCTATTTCTTTTGAACACTGGGGACTATTTCAATATTTTTAGATTCAAAACTTTTCCTATTGGCTTTGTTGCCAAATACATTAATTTTTATGGACAAATCCAGAGGGCTAGAAATAAATATTTGTTTTCCACAGGATCCATTTATTCTGTTAATCCATACAAATGTAGCATTCAGACAAACTTTGGATCTTAATAAATGGCATGCACTGATTCTGCTTCATTTGGAGACATTCAGTGTCCTCAGGAGGGAGAACTGAAATGTGAGAGGAAAGCATTTGCCATCAAATGTGCAGTGTTTAGACAGCTATTATTTTAGCATGTGAAAGTCAACTAAGAACCTCCCATCAAACCTGAGCAATCATTGCAGTTCCCAGTGAGCACCAGCCTTACAGTGCACTCATTAACTGACGAGCATTAGGTCACTAAAAAAGAATTTTACATGCATACATGCTTAATTGCAGTTTATACAAGCCAAAACAGCAACTCTGTTGGCTTTGGCATACAAAAGCCCTTTATTAATATTGCTTTTGACAAAGAAGATTCTATAATGCAAAATTGTACTTGTCACTTTTGAAAATCATTATATAAGATGCTTGTGTTTGTTTTTTTTTTCTTTTAATATTGTTAGTCATTTGAGCAATGCCCTTTTATTAGGCATTTTTGCAAGATTTTGTGGATATATACATTATATCATTAATATACATAATATCATTAATATACATTAATATTCAAAGATCTAATACAGTATATTGTAGTCTGGAGCTCAACTATCTGAGATAGGTAGCTTAAGCATAAAAACTATATTTATTCATAAAAAGAGCTGAAATGAAATTTAACAATTTCCCATTGGTTATAGCAACATGAATTAAAGACCAAAGCATAACCATACACAATATGTGAAACTACTTTAACTGTTCCAGAAGAACAGCCATCTACAGTGAGGATTCATTTCTATTTGTATAGCTGAACTTTCAAACAATTTATCTATGCATTATTTAATTTATATTTTGTCTGGAAAATATATGTTATGACCTAGGGATTTTTATTAGAAATAGAGATGGTAGTGCTGCTTGTACTATACAAAATATTAGAGGTGGGCTAACCTAAAAAATTGAATTGGCCCTCAATTCAAATGATTTATTAGTGATTCTGTGGTCACAACAACTTGAAGAAACTACCTCTCTTTCTGAATACAGTCTCTCTTAAACTTCTCATGTAAACCCTCTTTCTACCACTTCACTTTAAAATCTTACTTCTATTATCACTTCTTACAATGCCCACTCTTCATCATTTTCATGCCTGATTCAAAAATCCCATGGAAATTGTTGCCAAAAGTTATCTCCAAAGTTAAAATCTTACTGCGGTTCAAAGATGACTTTATAATTATTTGGGAAAGCCATTACCATGCAGAGAAATATAAACAAGCTTATTCATGAGAAAATTCCATGAACTCCAAGTAATAAGCCAACATCTGGCTACTGAGGTTTTTCCTTTGTTCAGGCTGTCTCACAGCTCTGGAGTTGTTCAATTTGGTGTTTTCTGCAATGGCAGTGCTGCAGGTATATCTTTTAGAAATCTCTGGTTTGTGTTCCCTCACTCCTTCATAGCTACCAAGAAAGTCACTGCTTGCTTTCCTCTTTCCCTCAACATACAAAGCATCTGTAAAAAAAATTTCCTTTGCATCCATCCAAAGATGTGAGTTTTGGTGTTGAGACATGCAATAGGAAGTCTTGTGATAATCTGAGGCCCTAAGGGGACTGAAGGCCTTTCAGAGGACTGCAGGGGAGAAAGGAGAGAAATTGCCATATGGAGAAAAAAAAGACACCAAAAATCAAAAAAAACCAAAACAGAAGGAAAAAAACACAAAAAACCAACCAAACAAACAAAAAGACCCACTTCACTTAAAAAGAAAAATACAGTGAGAAAGTAAACCCAAAGTTTAATGCAATATTAGGAAACATCTTTAAAACATTCCTCCATTCATTCTCACTAACAAGAACAGTACAATAGGAAAAAAGTTAAGATCATTAAAACACATTTTGAAATAAGTGTTTATTTAGAAAAAATCTATGACGACAGGTTGGAGCAAGTCCTCACAATTGTTTTATAAAATTATGTGTTTCTTTGGCTTATTCCAGTTTTAACACAGATTTTGTATGGCATCACTGAAAACCTTCAACCCAAAAAAGAACATTTTTGCATCTATTCCTGTTCCTTTAAGATGAAATGGTAACTAGGTCAGCTTGCCAGGTCTTCATCCCAACACCATAAACAGAACCCAGCTGCATCTTAGTTCCAGCTTTGAAAAATGAGGATTAGGATTCCTCTGTTTAACTTCATCTTAAATTTCTACAAGATTATACTCTGGTTACAGTAAAACATCAGCTGTACAGCTTTCCCTTTCTTTGGTTATTGCCCCCTTAGGCATAACATTGAAATCAAAGGGAAGACAGCTGTACCAAAATAGAAAATTGTCAGAATTTATCTGGCATAAATTCATCCCTCAAGATTTCATTATGAAGTGTTACTTCTTAAAAAAACCAAAACACTAAGTACTTTCCAAAATCTTAAGAATTACAGGACTAGAAGCATAAATTATTTGGATCTGAATACAAAGAACAGAGTAAGCACTGGTTCTGAGGGCTAAACACAACCAGTACCATAACAGTGGCAGTATACCATAGACTGAAGTGGTTTCATATAATGCATTCATTACAGGTAGATAAAAGCCTAACCACTAAATATGAAGGAATTGGAGGATTCCCTGTGACAGTGAACATTATCTAAAAGGAGTTTGTCACACTTTAATTCCTTTTCCAGAAGTCAAAGTGGAAAACATGCAGAAAATTTTAAATTCTGCATTCTAGTCCACAGTGACACCAGCAGAATTCAGTGTGCACTCACTGGACGATCTGTTTGTCACTGCCAGGACTGTTAGGGAATGCTTCACAAGGGAAGATGGCAATGCTGTGATGTACAGGCTGAAATAGCTTTTTTTAAGATTAAAGTAGCATTTAACTGAGAAAAGCAAAAGTCATTACCTAATCTTTATGATCTTATTTGCCTCATGACAAAAATGCTCAGTACAAGCATATTCCATGGAAAGATGCATAAAAGCTGTGCGAAAGATTTACAAAATTATAAGTCTCACTATGAAAAAAGTACCAACAGAAACTTTTCTGACAAATAAAAGTCCTAGCCACAGAAGTTAATACGGTTTTGATATTGGGGATATTTGCTTTTTGGAGTGTGGGAATTCATTCTGCCTTTCTCAGTCTGAACTAAACATCTTTCTCTCTACTATGCATAGATACTCTGCAAGGTGTTGGAGAGAAAATTCAATTCCCATCAAGGTATCCAGCAAAACTCCCACTACTTTCAGCAGAGTCAGCATATCACCTAGTTTATATTCATCAGTTTGTGTTCTGTAGTCCTAGTGTTGCCAAGTTTCATGTTATTTGGAATTTTTCTTAAAACTCTAGGTCCCATGGCAATCTAAAATTCACCTTAACAAGAAAAGATCTTGGAGAGATAAACAAGAGAGTTCACTGATTAATTTCATCTTAAAGCAACAATTTAAAGTAGGGCAATGCAACACCACAATTCTCATAATTCAGTTATGAGAATCTTTAACATCTATTCTGGAAACAAAAGTAACTGAGCAGCGAACAATCACAATTAAAGCAGTAGAAAAAGGCTGGTAAATAAAATCAAGTCATGCTTATACTCAACATAACAGGTGAAATTATTCCAAATACTTTTGAATTATGGTCTTTTTCTGAGGTTTAAATGAAAAATACAATATTATCTAAATATTAAAATCGCTTAATTTGTCTCTCAAGTTCTTGTTTTTACTCCACATACTGAGAATAAAATTAGAGTGCATTGGGACATAATTACTTTTGCAATGCTGTAAATAGATGTGTGTGTTCTCCAGCACTCCTGACGAAAGAATCGCACAAAAGAGCAAAAAAGGAAAATATGAAAATATGACACCAGCACTATTATTGACCTATTTACCAGAATTTCCTAATCAGCTAAACCTAATACAACAAAGTAAAATATTTAGTGCATTTGCAGTTTCAGTATTTGTCTTACTGGTTTCAGGGTGGTGGTTTGATGCCTGTGGCCCCTCCAACCTCAATGGGATGTTCTACACAGCTGGACAGAACCACGGGAAGCTCAATGGCATCAAGTGGCATTACTTCAAAGGCCCCAGCTACTCCTTGCGCTCCACCACCATGATGATTCGGCCTTTGGACTTCTGAAGGAATTCCGCGGCGGATCCTAGCAGGAGCCAGGCTGGCAGCGCCCTCAGAGCAGCACTGGCACAGTCTGAAGGGAAAAGGTGAAGGGCTTCTGAAAGCAGCGTGTAGGGATGATGCAAAGTTGCTTCGCTGTCTCTCCATAACCTGCACACACTTCCCAACAGCGACCCCACCCTCTGATTACTGCGGAGAGCTTGGTTTAGAAGAAGGTGGCTGAAATTATTTTCCAAAGAACTGGATTTGGCTATTCTGCACAAACTTGGTGCTTGCCAGTGGATGTCTTTTTTGTTTCCTTTGTTTTAATTCAGCAACAGAATCAGAATTTGAAGAACTGGAACATATCAACCATGGTCTATTGAGTAGAATGTTATTCAGCAGTGAAATGACAACATTATACCCATGAAAAAGGATTACAGAGACACTTTTATTAAAACTTTTCTTAAAACATCCAAGGTGACCACTCCAAATATTGTTTTTCTTAATGAACTGATTTTGAATAGTGGATGGATTTATGTGAATCCCAAAGTCAAATTATTTGTGCAAATAAAATTTTTCATTAAATACTTTAAAGACAAGTTTCTAATAAACTGAGACAAACATATGAATAATGATAAGGATAATAGGCATGAATTCCTCAGTTGCTCTGTAGAGGTAAATCAGGTAATTGGCGTAATCCCTGAGCTAGGATTTATAGTGTGATAACAAAAGTAGCTGTGTTTTTAGGTTTTTCCTTTCTTTCATTAAAAGCAGTCTGAATGTCATGTAGAATAATTAATGGAAGGTTTAAAGAACGTGAAATATTATCCAAGAGAAAATACAGGATTTTGCATGGAATTTTTCCATCAAATACATAGGAAGGCAAACTGTTAGAGTATAAAAAATTACATAAATGCATAGCTTAAGGCAATGGATTAATTTTGCAGTATCCTTGCATGTGCGCAATTTATCCTGAATTATTTTACTTTTTTATTACATTTTTGTGAATATCAGAAGCATGCCAGTTTTACACAGTGCTTAGGCTACAACTATAAGAAATACTCATCAGAACTGTATAAAAAATAAATAATTGTGAACTTGTAAATATCATATCTTTCCTGCAACAGTCATTTATTTTGTACAGGAAACCCTGAACCCATGCAAAGGGTGAAAAGCCTCAAAAGGATATAAATGTTAAAGAACTTTAGATGACTGCTTACAGAGTGCTAACAAGTAATTTTGTTCTATTAAAATGTTGCAAAAGTGTGGGATTATTGGAAAAGATAAAAGTCTTCTAATAACAAACAATAAAGTAATGTGTGGCCTATGAGGATACAGAGATAACTCTTTCCATTTACAGCCCTTTTGATTAAGTTGTATGAATAAAGTCTATTTGGGGAAGTAGTTCACAGTCATTCTACTTCTACTAGAAATTAAATGAAAAATTTTACCTTACTGAAATCAAAAACAATACTCTCATCAATTAAATTGGGACCAACACGGCACACAGAATCTGCATGTGGTGAGGTGTTTGCTCATCTCTTTGTTGCTTGTTTCCACTTATTAAACTGTTCCTGAGATGAGGCACAACAATTATCTGATTTTTTTAAAAGAATAATGATAACTCTTTTTTCCCCTTGCTTTCTACCTATTTTTTTCCATTTAGCAGTTTATTTCTATGGAATAGAGAAAAAATACTTGGATATTTATAAACACCTCTTCCTAAAGATCACAAGGTTATACTACCACTGAGGGCTATTGCAGCCCCTAAGGGTTCTCTGATTTTGTTACATTTTGATGTTTGTTTCATTTTAAGTGGGAAGAAATTTTTTTTGTGTAGTTGTATATATTTATATATATATTTGAAATAATCTTGACTAAGGGTTAATTTGAAGTTTTCTGCTGAATAAGTTACCAAACTACTCTTTACATAGCACTTTCTTCACATACATGTTTTGTCCTAGTTTCAGCAGGTTTTTCTAATAGTCTTCATTAACGTCCAAAATATGCAGTCTATCTTCCACTACATTCTCAAAAGACAGAGTTTTGCAGGTCTCCAAGTTAAGAATGCCATTTTTGCAGATCCTATTGCAAAAGGCAAAACACATTTAGAATTAAAAGCATGATATTTACTGTTTATTTATCTGGGTTTGGGAAAAAAAAAAAGTGGATTTGGTTTCCTATCCTTTATAATAAAATGTTTTTAAAAATTGTGGACTATGTGATTTTGCTTTGCTCTAAGTATACCTTTCTGTGTCAGGCTGATAACATTTCAAAAGCCACTATCTCTCCATGTAAGAAATAGTAATAAGCTTAGACAGATCTGTAGGAAGGGAGAAACTCTAATTTTATCCAGTAATTATTATTTCTAACTTTTTATATCCCTACACCAATATTTTTTATTGAATTTCCTTGATTAAAATCATGGGACTATATTTTTTATCTTTGGTTCAAATCATAAAATTCTCTATTAATCTTAAAATACAAGATTTCTTTTATTCAACAGGCAAAGATGCAAACTGAAGTGTGATGTTTTCCTTGCTTTATGATGTGTTCTTCTATCAATCATTCAATCATGTATGGCAGTGACAAATCTCCGCTGATCTCTTACCCAGAAATTCCTTCTGCTCCATTTGTATGCCTTTTAACGCTATAGTGATCAGGTTTAGCATGTCTTTGTCATGTAGAATAATTTATCCTCATTTTCTCAGGAATTTTTTCTTAATTGACTTGTTATGTTCCTTCAGGCAAACACAGCTTTTCAAATCAACACTAAAGGTGCAAGGAACTATAGAAATAAAAGTACATTTTGCTCCTAAAGTTGGATGAATGTGTACTGGCATAAATTGAAGAGTTGCAATTCCTAAAATTCTAGATTTGGAGTTTATTTATATTGAAATCCTACTTGCCTTGACAAATAGTCATTGGTCAGTGGTAATAATAACTTTACTATTTACTCTACACAGATAATGTTCTGATTTATAAAACAAAAATACACAAAGTTTTGACAAACTAATAAATATGTTTTCCAAAGCATATTGATCCTTAATTTTTAATATCTTTTGAGGCTGGAAATGTTATTTAAATGCACACTTTCCTAAGTGCCCTAACATCCAGTACTGACCTACTAAGTAGGTAAATCATTTATAGTCATTTGTACAACTATGTCCCAAGATAAAGTTCCTTAAAAAACCCTTCCAGCTATAAAAACAACTTTCTTCTCTGCAGACTAGAAGCTCAAACCACAGCTCTGACCATGCCTCAAATAATCTCGTTTGGGATTGGCACAGTTTCCCCATCTCTGGGAAGAATGAAACTGAAATAGCAATCACAACAAGAGCTTAATTCTCTAGGTAGGATCAAGCGTAATTTACAACCAGACTGTTCTGCAACTGTGCCAAAAAACATTTAAAGCATTCTTACCTACCAGCTTTTACATGGGCTGGACAGCTTGAGGAGGGAGGCACTAACTCTGAATACAGCTTGCTGCTGCTCTCTGACTCTCAGCTGTGGTGTGCACACAGACACACACAAATCCATACATCCAGAGAAAACTTCACACAGACAATCAAAATGATCTTGCTCAAATTTTTACTAGAGGACCTTTAATCTCTTAAGGTAAAAAAAAAGAAGAAAAAAACAACAAAACTAAAGGAGCCTTTCTCATGCAGCAATAGCAGGAAGGAGAAAGACAGGGGTATGGGACTGTAATGAAGAGAGGGACAAGACAGAAAGATTGAGAAGAGTTGAAAGGAAGGGATTACCTGTGAGACACAGCAGCTTCATATTTACTGTGCCATGACTATCACACATTGTGGGAGCTCCCTTGTCCTCTAGGAATGTCCAAATCCCCTCTGCCTGGCTCTTGCTCATATGAGTAGAAATCTATGGGTATTATTTCTATTTATATGTTCTGAGTGGTTTGTTTGTCTGTGTGTTTTTATAAACTTTGCACAGGGACAAATTTAGCATGGATTTTTGATATGCTGCTTATGGTTATGTCAAGTTAGCTGTGTAGCAAGTGCTGTAAAAATGAAAAAGTTCCTTTAGAGAATATTGCATTCTGCTGTGTAACTTTTAAGTACTGATGATGAAATAGTACCTATGCTCATCCAAAATCTGGTGAAATTAGAAACTTTTTTCTTCCACTAGATAAAATTTTTAATGCCCAGTACAGTTTTTTAAGCCAGTGACTTCAATTAAAGGACATTAAAGAATGGATATATACTGTAAATATGACCCCCAAAAGATATATTAAAGCGCATCAAGGCCTAAACACCAGTCTTGTGTTTTGATAGGAATAGTCTTGAGCCTTGAAGTGTTACCATAAATTTTCCTTCTCTTCTTACACTTCTCACCTTACTCCCACTTTAGTAGTTCCCTTATGACTCCTTTTAAACTTCTGGCAGTGTTTGCCTTTTGCTGTGTGGAAGTGGTCACAGGAGGCAAGCACCACGTTTAACAGCTCTGCAGATGCACGTGTGCACACCACCACCTGTGGGGAGAGCAGAGTCACTCCCCACCAAACCACGGGTAAGGAACATTGCTTGATGCTTGTCATTTGCTCTGCAAGGTTGTGAAGTGAAAAATAAGGCACACAGAGGTCCTGCTTTCCACTTAAACAGGAAGCAGATGCTTTGCCTGGTCAGCCCTGAAAGGGACTCCAGAAGAGTAATTTATAGGCAGCTTCTCAGACACAGTGGAAATGGAGGGGAAAAAATCTCAATCAAGGTTAAAAAAAAAGGAGAATCTTGATGCACTAAAGCAGGTAAGGAAGAGTTGAGTATGAAAAATTTGTATCACAGAATAACAAAACTAAGAGTGTAAAGGAATCATATTAAGAAGCTGAAGTCAAGGTCAGCAAAAGAGGGCAGTCAGTCTGACAAAAAGAATGCAGCAAAATGGCAAAGATGAAAGCACTGGATAAGAAATACTGAAGAAAAATTCAGCAGAAGAATCTTTTAACACATTTATTAGAGCACCATTAGTATCCAATTAATTTTCCAAAGCCTAAAAGGAATATTATCACCCTTTTACTTTCTGCTTTTATTTATTATTTACAGTGTAATGGAGGTACACTGGTAAAATCTAAAGCAATACTAAGAAACAGTTCCTCCTTAGATGAATTGTTGCTAACGCGCTGCTTGAAAAACAGTTCATGCTTTTAGCATGAGACACAAATCCACCAATAGAGAAATCAACTTTAGATAATATTTACTCTTCCACTAAAAGATGTGAATCACCATCCTTTTGTAACCCACTTATATTTAGAATCGTTGTCTACTCTAAAGAAAACTACACATCTCTGACCTGATCTCATTCAGCTGCATCATCAAACCACTGACTTATTTTGAGTAATAGAGCAGAACTCCTGCATGGTTTTACTCCTCCTCCTTTGAAGGAAAGTTTTTTCTTTTGTTTTTTCTTTTTTTTTTTTTTAATTTAAACACTTCTAGTTTGGAGTTCAGATTTCATCCACCAGAGATGCTTATTTAACCTCTTTGATAGCTTCACTCAGTGCTGTTTCTTCTGTAAAACCTCCAGGCAAATTTCTCCTGAGTTAATGCAATGGTTCTTGTCGCCATCTTCTGCTCTGCCTTCACATGGAGAATCACACAGCCAGGAAACAACCATTTCTTTTTTGAGCAGTTTCATTCAGTCCTTTCAGGAAATCTGGAACTCCTGGTAGTAACATCAGTGCAGATCCTGAGGCCCACAAATGCTGGTTCTGGCTCCCTGTGACCAGCAGCTTCCCACTGGCCAGCCACACCAGGGCTATCTGTACCTTCATCCAGGTAATGGAGGTGTCCTCAAGCTCCCCTCCTGCCACATCCCTGTTTCCCTCCCACCTGTTTCTCTTGGAATACCTTTCTGAGACAGAGTAGAGCCATGGCCCAGCAGCCACCACGACAGCTGTTCCCATGGAATGATATCTCTGCACATTTACCTGTAGGCTGTGCACACTTTAAAGCAGCTCTTCTGGGACGACTTTAGAATGCCTGGTCACTAGAAAAAGATGATGCAAATACAGCTCAATAACTTTTTAGAAGTACAATGGCATTAGCCGAAGGCTTTTCCACTAATTTACTCTATTTATTAGATTAAGGAACCTGTGCTAGTTTTTGCTATGGGAGCAGACAGTTTTTTAAACACATAGGTGAAGATGTGTCCAATATCCCTCGGTTTTAGCATGTAATGAAAGTTTTGGCATTAGTTTGGAGTATTCAAGGCTTTGGGAAAAGTAATACACATACAGTAATACACATACCAGACTTTGTCTGGGAAAAATAAGTTTATTAGCCAGAGCAGTTTTACCCAAAAAAATGTGAAATGCAGAGATAGAAAATTTACGTCTGTGACTGTGAATATGGGTTTATGAATGAAGATTTAGGCAGGAGCGAAAAGCTTCTCACAGATTCTTTTTGATTGAATGACTTGAGCAAATTTGCTTGGCACCTGCATCTCCTGAGTCTCCTTTTCAGACTGTGTGAGCTACCTCACAGAGAAAAGATCAGAAAAACTACTTCAGTTTGATATAATCTAAAATAGATTAAGCGCAAGTATATATAAAATGTTGTAAATCTAAGATTCATAGGGTGACTAAGCTGTTAAGGTTAAGATTTATTCATGTGAGCACTCAGAGAGTAAAAAATCAAAAATGCTTATATTTTCAGTGCACTTAAATATAACATAAATATATAAAACATATAGTTTAAGTAGCCACTGGATGCGTGGAGAAAATTATAGAGAACACTGATTGTGGAACAAGACAAGCTAACCTGTCATCTCAGCTCACTCTGAGATACAGAGAAGCACTTTTCCCTTAAGCTTCTGCTGTCTGCTGCCACCTGTGGTTGGAAAAGAAGTTTTTCCAAAGATTAATTCATCACCAGAATCAACTAAACGTGAAATGAGAGAGCTAAGAAAAGGAAACAGAAGGGACCAATAAAAATGGTCAGGATGTCCAGCACAGATGTCAAAAGGAAGTTTCTATTTAGGTACATGTTTTCAGTTTTAAAAGTACTGAACTCCCACTGATTTCAGTTTATTCCAAGTAGATTAAAAATACACTGGCTTTCTAGCAGTGTAGACCCTCCCTAAAGAAAAGAACTATTTTAATTTGTTCAGTATAAAAAGTTGCTCAAAAAGACGTGGGTGACTGAGAAAGGGAAGTAACATAAAACCATTCTAAAAATGTGTGTTGCAGTTTCTACATTTTCACTAGACCAGAATTATGTGTACAGAGGAAACCCATCAAGAGGTGTGCAAGGAAGAAGCAAAGAACAGAAAGCCATAGTTTCCAAGATGGGAAATGAACTATATTTGAAAAAAAACACATTAAAATAGTATTCAAGATTAATTCTCAGCAGTTGTAAAGGCAAAAATCCAATTTCTTCTTTGAATCTAAATTTAATGAATTTATGCACGATGTGTTATCCTGAGTGTTTTAATTGCTCTCTCACAGTTTTATATCATGCTTCAAGAACTACATTTCAATAGATTTTTTGATTAATGAAGACTGATTAATTGGGAAATGAAAATATATACTTATAATTGTATATTTTTAATTCTCCAACTAATCTGCTCATTTCAGTGCCTTTATTTACTCTGGAGTCATATTCAGCAATGGAAAAGGTACTTTGTCTTTTCAAGACTTCAAAAATTTTTTTTTTCCCCTTTAGTGCACCTGAGTAATATTTGCCATGGGATGGTCCAAATTAATATCTTCAGAGCAGCCCAAACTGCTCATCCTGTTGCCATACATAAACTATCTCACTA